CGCAACCAGGAGAAGCTCGGTGGCGAAGCAGGCTACTACATTTCGTCGTTAATGGGCGCCGTACAGTTTATCGAAGGTTTAGACAAAACTTCACTAACAGTCAGCAACGAAGAGTTTGAGAAGAATGTCGAAGCAGCAGTGTCGGCCATCGCTGAGCGCCACGCTGCTGAAGAAGCCGAGCCATCATCTGCTTCTACCCAGTTACACCCCAATGCCCCTACTCACAAGCGCATGCCTTCGCCACACTACCATCACATACAAGAAAAGACGACACCCTTGCGGCCCGAACTCACTCAGAGGAATTCGATGGAGGCTGAAACTGCAGGACCACGCCGCTCGACGAGCGTCAAAAACAATCAGTCTGAAGCTGAACAGCCCGAGGAAGAGAATGCAGCCGTAGCAGGCTTGCTGCGCACTATACAGCGCCCACTCAGCACAATCGGGCGCATCTTCTCCGACAGCGATACCCACCAGTCGTCTGGGCAAACCACACCGTCGAAGCAGCAGCAGCCATTGCCCACGCGTTCAAGGGCAGAGGCTCCTGAACACGAACAAAATCACGACGAGAGTCGGCACAGGGAGAAGGCCTCGGCCGAAGAGGCAGCGGCGAAACGCGCGTCTGCAGAGGCAGAAGAGATACGTCGGATTCAGCGAAGGGAGCACCAAGTAGTTGTTGAGACGTTGACAAATATGTTTCCGCAACTGGACAAGGATGTTATTGATGATGTTGTGCGACAGAAGGAAGGACGGTAAGTTCAAAAGTTCATAATGCGAATTTTTGAAACAATGAGATGCACTCTTACTGACTATGACCAGGGTTGGTCTTGCAGTTGATGCATGTTTAGCGCTGGCGAATCCTTGATATAGTCACAATCCGTGGTTGAACTTTAATAGATTACTCGACCTCTAATGGAAGCATTTCTCGATGAGACGAATAACGCAGACGAGCTCTGACCCGAATGTCATCTCACAAGTACATCTTCCTTGTGGGCTAACAGGACAGATGCACGCCTCATACCATGATTCCCTTAGATGAAGCACCAAACACCGGTAGGCTGCAAGACCCACAGCTAGCAAGCGCCACTATCTCTCCTCAAACACCATTGTCTGAATTCCTTCTCGAGTCCAGGCATGTTCAGCCGATCAACGTCCCACCCACAAGCCGTACTCTCACAATGCAACAGCAGTGAACTGAGCTGACTAAATGTCTTGCCGCACTCTTTGTCGCGGCAAAGAAAAGGGTGTAATGCACCCTCGCTCATCCACTCACACACTTTGTGAATGTCCACCCGACCAGTCCGAATATGCGCGTGCAAATCGAGATCCATGTAGAGCGGCGAGTACCACCACATGCCCAGACAGCGCATCAGAGGTGTGGCTTCACCTAGCTTGGGGCAATTGCCGGACTCGAGGTGGTTGATTAGGCTCGAGTATTTTCGCATGGGGACGTCGCAGCCCCAGCATACCAGGTTGGCGGAGCTATGCTTCGTCATGTGCTGTGATGGTGTTAGTCCTAGATTTTCCACCCATCCAATCGATGCAAGTGTTTTCTTTTTCTTTTTTTGCTTACAATGTCAAAGTTGCCCTTGTGAGACGTGTAAAAGTTACACTCTTCACATCGAAAACAGTGCGTCATGTGAAGTTCCAACTGGGCTTTTCCTGCACACTTTTCACCGCATTGCGGGCAGGGTAATGCGAAGAGGCAGGTCTCGTAGTGCTGGTTGAGTTTGGTCAGGCTCGGCAGGATGTGTTTGCATCCTTGGCACTGGAAGTGGTCGCGTCTCAGATGCTCGGTGAGGGAGGCTTGATCTGGACCGTCAAAGGCACAGCCGGGTTGCAGACAATGCTTGTGTCCTGTCAGATATGTCAGTAGGATATTCCCAGAAGGCCCGTGCACTGTGTGAAACATTCAGTCACTTACTGAGAGTCTTCACCCAGTGCTCATCACGCTCATCCTGGTTACGGAAGCGGCGCTGGCACGTCTGGCACCACGTGTGCGTCTCGGCCGTCTGCAGATGGCGGTCTAGCTCTGCACTCGTATTGAATCCTGTGAGGCAAGTCAGACAGACGAACTCATGTCCGACGCTATAGTTGTTCTCGAAATGGTTCTTGAGGCCCCACTGGTCCTTGAACGCCGAGAGACACAGGTTGCAGTACGTGTCGTGACCGAGCGAGTTGTCGACATGGTTTTTGAGGCCGTTTCTGTCCTTGAACACGCGCTTGCATAGGTTGCAGTAATTCTGGTGGTTCGGCGACTGTTTGATGTGATTCTGTAAGGCTGTTTTGTTTGGGAGTTTGAGAGAGCAGACGCCACACCAGTTTTCGTGGGGATCATGTGGCTTTTCCTCAGTGGCACATACAGGGGCAGTGCTTTTCTGTCTATTGTTGAGAAGTTGCTGTATAGATGCGGCTTTGGCCCGGTGTTTGGTGTCAGTCAAGGGCTGGCTGACTGACGCCATCACTGGAGCACCACGCTTCTTTACCTTCTCCCAAGGTATCGAGTCATCCGCGACCTGATTCAAGAAGGGATTCTTGCTTGGGTCTGGTGGTGTAACTCGCGTAGCAGTTGCGTTATCGTCCGCACTGGCGAACAGCGCATACCTGTTATATCCCGGTGTCGCCATGTCTGGATTCGCCGCAATCTGGATAACGGTTTGATGGGAGCGTAATGACTTCCCGTCAAGTTGGGTCATAAATTGTTGTTGTGAGCGATTGTCTCGACCAAGTATCCATGCAGCAAGCGCGTTGTCAGGTGACACCAAATGGGCGACTGGAGCATGGACCGACATGGCACTCGATAGAAGAGCGGAGTAGTGAAAAGAGTGCAGACTGCTGATACGCCATGCAAACACGTGCGTGGGGGTGCGGCCCCATGAGAGACGTCGTGGGAGAGTCGGTGGAACGATGATGACGTAAGTGAACAGACAGTGTGAAGGTGAAGGAAGGTGCGACGCATGGAGAGCCTGTGATGCATGAGGCTGCATCAACACCACCATGACCGTGTGACGTGAGCCATCAACACTGCTGCCACGAAGAAAATGATTGTGCTGCCAGACCAAGTGCGAGCTTCGATTCAACTCAGTGTCCAGGAGCAGATGTGGCTCTAATTGCACATCCTTCCCCCTTGGACAAAAACTCAACATCTACTCCTCATCCACTACAGATACATCTACTTCTGACATCAGATACTCATGGCCAACCAAACTGTACACAGAGAATTGGTAACCATGAGTTCATCATCTCATCAGCGCTCCCGAGCTTTATCAACAAACAGGGACCAACACCACACACATAAATTTCTCGCTCTTCCCGCGAAAGCTGGTACTTGTTAATCCCAGCTCCCCACAAACCATCTCTGCATTACGAACCATACCCTCTCGGCCATCTCAAGGCCTTAATTCCACATCATTCATTACCTTCAATCATGAAGACCTTCATCGCCCTTTTCGCACTTGCGTGCTTGTGTCTCGGCTGTGCAGCCGGGGATCTTAACGCAATCTGCATAGCGTCAGACTATCGTGTTTGTCACCTTCAGCAGAGGAGGTCCTTTAAAAGATACGCGCATAGTGTGTCCGGGATTTCGTCCGAGGCTCCAGATACAGCAGGGGCTATAGAACCTTCAGTTGCGGGCGGGAACAGCTCGTTTATCGAGTAGATCTGGTAAATAGTAGGTATCTGAAAAGATGACTGCTTTCGGCTTATGCTGATACATGGTTTTCAGAAGAAGAGTTGGTGGGCTGCGAAATTCCTTCTTTATGGGTCTATGGCTGTGAGCATGACTACACGAAAGAAAACAAGTCAAGGTTATTCTTCTATCACACAGGGATACAGACATTGGGGTACCATATTCACTCGGACTTGTTCTGGTAACACATGCATGGAAATATGAAGGAGAGTGCAACTTGGATATTCGTTGAGTTTCGTGATCATGGGGGGATAGTTAACGTTTATGGTATTAAGAAAACGGCTATACAGTCCTCCCCAAGGTTTGGAGAGGTCAGGATATACAGTTTACGATTGAAATACTGCTTGTAATGGTATATCTTTATCCATTTTCAATCCAGATATCTGCTTTCCTTTTCATCAATCTTGCAATACAGTCAGCCAATGCATGCTTGTAGTACGCAAACCACCACAAAGAATCATACTTAAGGCTAAGCTTGGCTAGAATTTGTCCTGTGTTTTAGTCTAATAACACGAGACTAGAGTCTTATTGTGCTATCTGAATGTCTTAATCATCTTCTCAAATATATACATAGGTATGTGACCGCCTTTCTCACGCAATTTCAGACGTATGTACTTTAACTTTTCCCTGAATCCCTTTGAGACTATCTCTTTTCTCTTTTACTTAATTAGTAAAATGATTACTTCTTCAAGCCCTTATCGCGAAAGAACACTTATTCATGCAGTAACCATCACATATCTACTAACATGATATACAACCCTGCTATGCATAGACAATGTAGCATCAAACGGAAGACATATCCCTAGAAATAGATTTGTGCTCCCAATCATCACTTTAGTTTCGACATTGCACATGGTTTCGAATCTCAAAATGGCGCTTTCACTCCGTAGCATCAATGCCACGCGACTGGAATCCTACATTCACTATGAGTTGGAAGATACAAACAACCATGTAACCAGTTGATCAACACAGCAATTGTTTACAAAACATCTGTCTCGCCCTTTCTAGAAAACTCTCACACACGGAAATATGGTAACAATCTAAAAAGGCCAAGAAGAAGAGCAAGATAAAGCACATCAGCAAGCCTGACATATCTTAGGATAACTCAACTCAAGAAGACATGAGCTTTAACATGTCTCAAAGCAGCATGCTTGCGACTATGCTTCCGTCGCGCAAGATACTCCCACTACCAAAAAGACGAACAAGAGGCGGAAATGAAGAACGATACAGAACACCCAAATCAAAGGGGGTAGCGAGTGCTTCTTCGACGACAATACAAACATCAACATCTCGCTCTTCTCTCAGCCTGGCAGAGATGAACCGCGCCCTGGCCCTAGCAAATATTACCACCAACTACCAGCGGCCAGACAAAGCCCTGATAGTAGCCATGAGAAATAAACAACAAGGTATAAACGCTGAAGCCACCAACAGTATTTTATCCCCAAATGCTACGCAGTCACTTACGCCGACTGAAGAAAACATCACACCAGCCAGTAATTCTTCCACACTCACGCCTCTCACATCCCACCAGACTGGCGCCCTTTCCGAGCAACTAAACAAACCATCAGATTGGGAGGCGCAAGCCAAAAAGATAATCGAGCGAGAAGGTCACAGCCTAGACCGAGATTGGTCACGCATCAGCTGGAAGCAAAAAGCCAGCAACATTGTGCGGCTCAAGCTGCTGAAAGATGATGGCTACGACATTACTCCGCTGACGAAGAAAGGTGTCACCGCAGATAAAATCATCGATGCACTACTGGCACATATCCAGACCAGAAAGGGGAGCCAGTCGGACATGTACGTGTCTACCTGCGCCAGAACAGTCACCCAGCCAGAAATCAATGATAATGCAGTGATACACGAAAGCAGCACATGTCGACCAGACACAAATGCCTTTCTCCCTCAAATCTCAAACACAATATACTGTCCAAACAACAAGACCCCAACTCCCCATTTCACCCAGCAGCAAACCCACCCAAACACACCTCACACCCTCCTCCCTCAAAAGCGAAAGCACACACCCTCCCACCCCTCCCACCCTCGCAACACCAAAAAACGCCGCCTCCACTCCCCCCACCACACCACCCGCACCATCCAGACGTCCGCCCTGCACGCCCTCAAACGGCAGCTCTGCCGCACCCTCTTCGCCTCCTCACGCAAATCGCGCTCACGTTTCCACGCCTCAACATCGCCAGCAACAGGAGGACCGCAAGTCCCGATTCTCCGCTTGACGCCGCGGGCTGCTCCCTCTGCGTCCCGTGTCGTCTTTACGCCGCAGGCGCCCGGGCGACGGCCGAGTGGAGCGGATGCGTATATCACGTCTGCGGCGTTTGAGCTGCTGGGACGGGAGATGGCGTGGTTGGCGGCGAGTGCGGATGAGGAGCCGTGTTTGGTTTGTGATTCGGATGCACAAGGTGAGGAGCAGGTCGAATATGGGTTTAGGTTGTTAGTTCAGAGTTGGGGAGGCGAGGCGGTGCTGGAGGGGGAGCCGCGGGTGCTGGTTTCTTTGCTGAGGTATCTGCGGGATGGCGAGTTGATGCATTTGGGGCGGTGGGCGGTGGGTGATGTAGGGGAGGATGGGGAAGGGGTGAGGGATGTGGAGATGAAGGTTGTGTGGAATGAGCGGTTTCCTTTTCATCTTAGTCCTGCTACGAGTGAGGTATTGGGGAGGGTTGCTGCGGTGCTAGAGGAAGGGGTGGATGAAGGGGGCGGGGAGGTGCGTGTGGGGGTTGTACGGCAGATGGCGAGATTTAGTGTTGGTTGAGAGTTGAGAGAGAGAGAGAGAGAAAGAAGATATAAGGAGTATGGTCCGGCAAGGTTCGGGATGGAAAGGGTTGTCGTTATACTAGCAATACACAAGTTCAAATTTGGAAGTGGAATATCACTACAAATATTCTACAATTTGCGAGGCTGTCAATCCTACTACTGGACGATACATACATAAGTATCTTCGATTACTATCAGCGTCATTATTACCAGTCGCCCTATTATATCCGAAGGTTATTAATTTGAGAATGCAACTCTCATGTCAGCTAACTTAAAAATGAACATGTACATGAATGTTGATACCTAGACTGGCAGTCCGTAATGGGGGTTTTAAGTCAGCACGCAAGGTTCCGTATGATTCACAAATTTGCGAGTGGAAAGATAGAATAGTATATGCAAGCCGCTTTTTGCGTACTATATCTAACCGTGCTATACCGTAACAACATAGAGGTACCAATACCGCCTCAAAGGCAATCCTTCCCTCCAAACTATCCATACCTCACCTCACCCGTACCCTCCCTGAACCAATCATCGCTCGCCAGGCCCTCCTCCTCCGTCGCATAATTGATAATCGTGCTCTTAGACGTAGTATACGCATTATACGCATCAACGCCATTCTCGCTTCCCACACCGGAACTCTTGATGCCGCCCCAGGGCGAACTCGGGTCGTTGCGATGATGTGTATTGACCCAGCATATGCCGCTCTCGATACTTTCCGAGACACGGAACGCCTGCGATAAATCCTGTGTCCAGATGGCAGCGCCGAGCCCAAATTCACTGTCGTTTGCGAGCTCGATAGCCTCGTCTTCGGTGTCGAAGCCGACGACCACGATCACGGGACCGAAAGCTTCTTCTCTCCATATACGCGTGTCGACGATTTTTGTGGATTTGCCATTGGTTAGGATGGTAGGGGGATAGAAGTAGCCGGTGGAAAAGTCAATGCCGTCGAGCGATGACTCGCCCTTCATGCGCTCTCCGCCAGATACGGCCGTAGTCCCGGCTTGCTTCGCGTCGTTGACCAGCGCCTCCACGTTAGCGAGTTGTTTTCGGGAGATGAGTGGGCCCATCATCGACTCAACGTTTTTCGGTGACCCCATTCTTTTCTCAATACTTTGGGCCTTAGTCTTGAGCTTTGCTACAGCATCATCGAGAATGCTGTTTTGCACAATGATTCGAGTTGCTGCCACACATGTTTGGCCGCTGGCGATGAAGCTAGCAAACGCTACGCCGTTGACTGCCAAATCTAAATTTGCCTTCTCAAAGATGATTAGAGGTGCTTTGCCGCCGAGTTCGGCAGTATAGTGTGCAAGGTTTCCTCCTGCAATAGCCCCAATGGCGCGTCCTGCGGGCGTGCCTCCTGTCACATCAACCTTCTTGATCAATGGGTGCTGGACTAGAGCTTTGCCTGTTGTGATACCATCTCCAGGCAGCACGTTGAATACACCGTCTGGCAAACCAGCCTCCTTCATAAGCTTTCCTAACTCAATGCTTGTGAGCGGAGTCAGCTCGCTTGGTTTCAAGACAATACAGTTTCCAGCCGCCAGCGCAGGCGCTATCTTTTTGACAGCAATTAGCATTGGATGATTAAATGGCGTAATTTGCGCAACCACCCCGAGAGGCTTTCTGTCAATCCAATTGTGAAGTTTACCAACGGTGGGTAACACAGAGCGCTCCTCGGTCCGTATGAGGGCAGCATAGTATTTGAACCACTTGGTAAGGGTCGGAACTTGAGCGTTCATTTCACGGATAGCGCGCCCGGTTTGCCGGACTTCCAGTTGAATCAATCGCGGGAGGTTCTCCGTCAGCAGTGCGGCGATACGGTCTAGAATGTCTGCGCGGACATGACGTGGGGCTTTCGACCACACTCCAGATTTGAAGACTCGATGAGCAGTCTTGACAACATCGTCAACATTGGCTGCAGACGCCGCATGGCAGTGTGCAAAGATCTCGCCAGTGGCTGGATCTTCAATTGGCAGCCTGTGGTGTTGTTAGCGATTATGATCAGTCTTCACTCTGTGCCTCGTTAACTGACTGCTCTGCTCCACCTTCTACCTCTTTGCCCTCCACCCACATCATGTACGTATCGATTCCCTTGCCGGCCATGTTGCTGAAACGTTGAGTTGAGACTATTGAAAAAAAAGCAACGAACATCAGCGACGAAATATCTGTCACAATGATAACGGAGTTGCCCGATGGCAAGTGGAGCGTGATTAGTTAGTAGCGGGGTCAGCGATTAGCTCCTTCCCGCCTTCAGGATCGTGAACATTACTCATACCCCACAGTATCGTCAACATAAGTTAAATCCAAGGCGAATTTAATCAACGTTATTCCCAACACAGTAATTTTCCCCATGCATCATGATACGCCATCGGGTTGCATCACTTTACATGATTCAACCTCATACCAACAGCTGACTCCGCCACACATCCATCGCGCATGCTCACTAGGAATGCTCTGGCACTGCTAATTTACACTGTCTTTTCTTTTTTGTAGGACCCATTGCGGAAACGACTCATTAATTGCTGAGCCTTGTTTAAATTTCTATACAGTCTAAAGAGAAAATAAGATTAAAATCAGAGTTCCAAGCCAATTTTATTGCCGCCAGCATAACCATAGCGGCTTCTGAAATACAGACGAGGCTTGGTCCAGGTATCGCTCCTGAGTTCCGTTAATATACCAACAGCGATATTGCAATAAAGGGTATTGGGTATCTGTCCATGTTTGCCCCTCGCTAGCCTAAAACCAATATACAATAAAAAAAATGCGAAGCCCATCCAAGAAAGATGCGACTAGGATGCTATTTAGTTTGGGCGACACAGTCGCATGACGCACATTACACAAGAAAAAATTATGTGAGGCCCAATCATGGACCACCTGTTCAATGTCAAGTTAGTCCGAGGACGCTTTTTCCCTTCTCGTTACCCCTCCTGCATTCCATTACTCTCTTAACCTCTGCCTCACCCTCGGCTCCATGTGCAATGAGAAGCGAAATCAACACGCTTCGGTCTCGAGGTTCCAGTCCAGCTGATTTGAGAGCTACTTGTAGCGGCGTTTGTCCAGCTCTTGATTCCGAGTTGACATCCACACCGGCTTCTATCAAGTACCTTGCTATTGCCGACGCTCCAGGCGTCCGGAGGGCGAGGTGAAGGGGAGTTTCGCCATGAAAGTCGGGTGTGTCGAGTGAATGGCCCTGAGAAGCGAGGTAACGTACTGTGTCGAGTTGACATCCCAATGTGGCGGCATGCACAGCGGTGTAGTATGACGTTGGTGCGACGTTTTTCCGAGTGATATCTGCTCCAAACTCCGTTAAAAGAGGCAATATATCCGTGGACATTTCGTAGGCTGCTCTCATGAAGAAGAATCCAAACTCGGTATGCGGTGCCATTGGGGTCGCGCCTTCCCAAATGACTCTTTCGACTTCAGCAGCCGTCGCTTCTGCAGGTATGTTTGCCAGGATGCGGTCAACGGCCTCCCTCTGGCGAGGCTCCAGCTCTTTTCTTTTGCCTTTTGTAACGGCTATCCGGTCCGAGGTGATCTTCTTGTGTATAATTGATACATCCGAGCCAGAAACAATGGACGCATATCTTGATGCATGTCTGGACGCATAGCTTGATGCGAGCTGCAACCGAGTGCTTGCCTTTCCTGATAGGTCGGTGCACCAGCTGTACGATTTCTTCAGTCGCGATTCTGGTGCCACAAGGGTTTGAGCGGAGGAGGCGCAATCTTCAGTATAAAAGGTACCGCGTGATGGGGTAGTGGGCTCCTGAAAAGAGGGCACTACGAGACGCAACACTGACGATTTCTCAATGTTGGAATACGAGAGGGGTTGCGCATCTTCAAACGACGGGACATTGGCGAGCCATGTACCAATGCCACTATCATTCATGCTCGCATGGGACGAACTCTGGGCACTCGGACTCTTTCTACCATTGGGACTCTTCCTTCCACTTCGAGGCGTTTCGCCCAGAACGGGCTCTAGCGAATCTGGCCGCGGGATTACTGATCTCTTTGCTGGTTGCGTTGTCGTCGTTGGGGTTCCTTCTTTTGACACGGCTGTAATGCATGACCGGAGTAAGCGGACAGCCTGAAGTAGTGCAGACAGTGTTTCTCGTGCTGTTTGATTAACATGAATCTCATCTGTGTCTGTTCGCTTCAAGAGATCATCGCTGTTCGTGATCAGGTCGCTGACATAACTCTGGAGCAGAGCGTCCAGGGTGTCCTGCTGACCAAATCTGCGGGTCGTGAGCAACCTTGGCATTGGGGACTCTCCCACAGGGAACGACAGCACTTACAGGGCGAGATAGTCCAGAGACAGCTCGAGGATGACTTTTGAGGCATCGAGATCGTGACGGAGGTTCACCAAAGGCCCGTCTCGAAGGTCCCGCCAATCGTCCCTTGGGTTTGCACTACAAGAGAGTTTGAGAAAGGCCTTTTGGAGGCGATCACTGGTGTCGTCGCAAGAATCAATGACACGTGTTACTGCGTCAACCAGAGATTGGGGCAGCCCAGCGGCCTTTGTGGAAAAGTCATCCTGGGCAATGGCTAGGCCTGTTCTGATGATGATCAAATTGGTGTTGATGGCATTCAGATCATGTCTGGCATCGCGGACTTTGCGTGCAAAACTACTGATGTCCGGGATGATCTGGAGCGGATATTAGCGCAAGGAGTGGGATGATGGACATGCAAAGCAGTTCTAACCTGGCCGATCGATGTCCCTAGCGCAGCGCATCGAGCGGCGACCGTACTCGGGCGCGCCATCAACTCGCGGTGCTGTGGCGAGGCTGCAAGTGCGGTAGACGAGGCACCGATGGATTGCTGGTGCAGCCGGGGAGACTTTTTCTGGAAGAATGGCAGCGGGCGCTGCTATGAGTTGGGAAGACTTGGTCGAGGCGGAGGGCTTGTCACATTGTGCAGCAACGGCGTACGGCACGGATCCCAGGCTTTTGCGTGCCCGCCGGATACTCGGTGGCCTAGGGTGGGCTTGAAGGGCGAGGAGAA